GTTTGTTTCACTCAACATTTTTTTAATAGTTCATTTCATTTCGATTTGTGCCTCTTCTTTTGTCTGTCTTTTGACAGCTGTTACTGTTGTTGTTTTTGTTTTTGTTATTGTTGTCACCGACTACAGCGGTTCGTTCGTATCATGTAAATCATAGCCCTAAGGCAATATTGAAAGATTGATGCGCATAGTGTACCGCTAGTCTTACTCCCTCTCTCTATCCCTCTCTCTCACCTGCCTAATTCTTTTTCATTTCCGTTCTCTCGCTTTATATGTATATACATATGTATGTATGTATACACGACTCTTTAATCAATTGATTTTCTGTGCGTTGGCCAAGTCTCATTTTAACTTTATGCGCGTCGAGCACGCGATGTACCAGCGGAAAGTTTAAACAAAAAATATAAAACAAGAAAAACAAGAATGAAAAGAAGAAAGGAGAGTGCCAATGACACCAAGTTTTAGTTTGTTGTTCTATGGCTGCCCCAGCAGCAGCAGCAACAGCAGCAAACGGAGCAGGGTGCAAGGCGCGGGCGTCGTCGATATTGATGACGTAGACTGCGTCAGCGATGGCAGCGGCGGTAAGTGGTTGAAGTTGAAGACGCAACGTGGTAAAAATAATAATAAGAGAGGAAAACGAGAAATGAAAACACAAAAAAAACTACCCTCCGCGTAAGCCCGGGCTAGAGGCGAGCGGCAGGTTCAAGCGCTGACTCAGAATGTCTGTGACAGCGACTGCGATGGCGACTACGACTGGGACAGAGATATCGACAGCGACAACGAATATAATATAACACAAAAAATTAACCAATAGCAGTCCACGAGCAGCTAGAGGTGAAGCGGCCAAAGAGGACAGCACAAAATCTACGGCTCACAAATTCAGTGGCCCCCGATTTGCTAATGGTTTAGATTAAACAAAGGATGTCGGTTTAAGCATTTTCTTTGTTCGCTTTCTTTGTCGCCAGCAGCCAGTATCGTGGCTCATCGATGATTTCGACGCCTTTGGATGCTGTACTTTATCGGATGCAACAACAATGGAAGCTCAACAGAAAAAAAATCAAAAAAAAAAAAACAACGACATCAGGCAACATTACCGCTTCTGCCTTCTGTCCTGTGTCTTGTGCAATGTCTTTGCCTGGTTTAGCTACTTCGCGCCTTTGGTTTGGAATCACAGCTTTTGTTCTTGCCTTTGCTTAGCTCAAACTTTATCTTTAATTTTGTTTTTAAGGGCGGCACTGCACATGTGTGTGTGTGAAAATGTATGTGTATTGCTCGGCTTGAGTTTGTAAATTTTTATATGCTTGTTGTTGTTTTATTGTTTTTGTTGTACTGCTTGCTAATGCCTGCGCGTTATACAAATACACACACAAACACACCCACGCACATCTACAATAACACACGCGTGCGTGTACGCTGACATGGACAAATACACACACACACACATACACACACATATTTATGTAC